TCTTCCCGTTTCTTTCGTTATTTGGGTTTAGGTTAGGGGTTACAGCTGCAGGTGCTTAGAGTTTGCTCCTAGAGGTGCTCAAGGGACCACGTGATGCTAGAGATCAAATCTGGGCCTCCCACATGTGAAGCACTCACTCAGCCCTTTGAGGTATCTGCCAGCCCTAAAGTGCTAATATAGGGACCAGAACAATAGTCCAGCAGGGAGGGCTTCTGCCTGGCATGTGGCCAACCTGGGTTCCATCCCCGGAATTCCATGTGGTGTGCCCTGAACACTGCCAGGAGTAATTACTGAGCACAGAGCTAGGTGGTTCCCTGAGCATCACTGGGCATGTCCTCCAAACAAACAAAAAATATTAACAAAGTGCTAATATGCTCTTTGGAATTTTTGTGAGCTTCAAGCAAAGTGCAGAAAGGACAGGCAAGGACAGATCAATGATGACGGGTATGTGAAGCTGATGCTATTGAAGGGTTTATCTTGGGGCCAGAGAAAGGGCTCAGTGAGCTGAGCAAATGCTTTGCTGATGGAGGCTGAAGTTGGGTGGATCTGTGGCACTGTGTGGGCCCCGCGAGCACGGCCAGGCAAGCACAGAGCCAAGAGTAGCCCTTGGCACAGCTGGGTCTTTCACCCCAATTAGTGAAATAAAAGGGTTTATTGAAACTGCTTGAGACGGGAAAAAAAAGAAGGGAGAGAACTTGGACAGAAGATATAGGAAGGGCCAGAGTGATAGTGCAGCGGGTAGGGCGTTTGCCTTGCACAAGGACAACCTGGGTTCAATTCCCGGCATCCCATATGGTCCCCTGAGCACCGCCAAGACTAGTTCCTGTGTGCAAAGCCAGGAGTAGCCCCTGAGCATTTGCTGGGTGTGACTCCCCCACCCCCCAAAAAGAAGATATAGGAAGAAGAGGATGGTCTAAGAGGGGAACAGCCCCCTGACCCTCTTCACCAGGAACACCAGCCCCGGGGCTCAGTTATTTGCCAGGCAGAGACCCTTGGCACTGTATTTAGAGGGCTGGCACAGTCGAGCATGGAAAGGAGACAGCGGGGGCTCAGGGTGGCTGGGCTGGGCGCGGACAGCAGGGGCTCCTGCAACCTGGCTGGCCTCCCCCCTAGCTGAGCAGCTCACCGTGGTGGGGAAGATCTCCTTCAACCCCAAGGATGTGCTGGGCCGTGGCGCAGGCGGGACCTTCGTTTTCAGGCGAGTGGCAGCTGAGCCAATGAGAGTGTGTGTGTGTGTGTGTGTGTGTGTGTGTGTGTGTGTGTGTGTGTGTGGCCTGCACAGGGTCCCCTGGAGATGGAGAAGGTCTCAGTACTCCTTGAGGTGGGTGCTGGCGGGCCCCTTGCGCCCCAATTCCTGAGCTTCCCTGCACTGCTCTGCTCAGAGGGCAGTTCGAAGGCCGGGCGGTGGCTGTCAAGCGGCTCCTCCGGGAATGCTTTGGCCTGGTTCGGCGGGAGGTCCAGCTGCTGCAGGAGTCGGACCGGCACCCCAACGTGCTCCGCTACTTCTGCACCGAACGGGGACCTCAATTCCACTACATTGCCCTGGAGCTCTGCCGCGCCTCCCTGCAGGAGGTGAGGCCAAAGCCACGGAGGCGGGCACGGGTGCGGGGGAGCGGCGGGCTGCAGGCTGGCGGTCCCGGCCGCAGGCTGAGGCTCGGCCCCTCACGGCTCCTCAGTTCGTGGAGGACCCCAAGCCGGACCGCTGGGGCCTGGAGCCCGAGGCCGCGCTGCAGCAGCTGATGTCCGGCCTGGAGCACCTGCACTCCCTGCACATAGGTAGGCCCGCCCCTGCGCTCACGCCCCGCCCCCGCCCCGCCCACCGCCCTCACGCCCCGCCCCCGCCCCGCCCCTCACCTGCCAGCCTGCTCCTGCAGTGCACCGGGACCTGAAACCTGGCAACGTGCTCATCGCGGGGCCAGACAGCCAGGGCCGCTGCCGGGTGGTCCTCTCCGACTTCGGTCTCTGCAAGAAGCTGCCAGCGGGCCGCCACAGCTTCAGCCTCCGCTCGGGGATCCCGGGTACGGAAGGCTGGATGGCCCCGGAGCTCCTCCAGCTCTTGGCCCCTGACAGCCCGGTGAGTGCTCCGCCCTGCCGCTCCTGACCCAGCCAACCCCGCTCCCCATCACTGGACACTGTAGAGTGGCTGTAAAGTGAGGCCCACGAACACCTTTTTTATCCACGCGCTTCTTGTAACCGGGGGCAGTGTTTCTCAACCAGGGACTACTTTGCTGCCCAGGGAACAATGTCAGGGCCATTTGAGGTTGTCACACCGGCAGGAGAAGGGGCCCGGTACTAGACAAGTATTCTTAGTGTCAGGACCATCATCCCACACCCACACCCACACCCAAACCTGACCCCTAGCAGAATGATGCGTAAAGCCAGAGACCCAGGTCGGGTACTGACTGATCTGGGGTGCAGCCGGCTGCAGGACTGTGGTGTTGAGCTCTGGGGGAGCACTGGAGGAGTCCCTGCAGCACGGAGCAGTGTGGGCCCCTGGACACATGTGCTCAGGCCCCTGGATCATAAGTTTGAGTGGTGGTGGAAGGGAGTTGGATTCAGGGTGCAGATGAGTGACACAAAAGGCAAGGGCAGCGTCCCAACGGTCAGGAAGCCAGACACACATGGGCCCCTGGAGGCCTGGGGTCAAACCCAGTCCCTTAACGGAGCTCACGAGGTCTGCCTTATTTTCTTGTCTCTGGGTCACAGGGCTGACTTCTGACTCAGCGATCACTCCTGGCAGGCTCTGGGGATTGGACCAGGCAATATGGGGTGCCAAGGATTGAAGCCAAGTCAGCCAAGTGGCTCACCTGCTATACTCTCAGGCACCCTGGCTTTTAACTCTAGCACTGTCCACTGTCCTCCCATTGTTCATTGATTTGCTCGAGTGGGCACCAGTAATGTTTCACAACAAATTGTGAGACTTAACTGTTTTTGGCATATCAAATATGCCACAGGTAGCTTGCCAGGCTCTGCCGTGTGGATGGGACTCTCAGTAGCTTGCCGGGGTCTCCGAGAGGGACGAAGGACTCGAACCCGGGTCGGCCGCGTGCAAGGCAAACACCCTACCCGCTGTGTTATCACTCCAGGCTTTTAAACTAGGGGGACAATAATTTAGCTCCAAGGAAATTCCACTGGAAAATCCAGTTTCCCTGATTCTCCTGGGAAGTTGAGTTCTGCCACCCTGGGAGGGTCCCTGGAGGCCACCTGAGAAGTGGGCAGCACTGCCTGTGGACGGGCCATGCTGGCTCTTCCTCCCTCCTCCACTCACATGCGGTCCCTAAGCCTATTAGGCCTACACTCCTTCCAGAAAATAAACCGCTCAGTGTGCCTCTGGAAATCTACCTTTTTAGAAGTGAACAAACAAAGTGTACCCCCTGGCACCCAGGGCTCTGCCACTCCTTATCATTCCAGTGCCAGGCAGAGGCTATTGCACCCCCAAGTGTCACCCAGTCGAGAAGTGTGGGGCTCAACGCTGGAGATACAAATCTTGGCCACCTGGACTAGAAGTTCAGGAGGGGCAAAGACTGGAAGGAATCTTAAGCCTCTTTGGTTGTGTGGGAAATACCTTGGTTTCTTTTTTTTCTTTTTGGGTCACACTCGGGGTTTCTCCTGACTCTGCACTCAGGAATCACTCCTGGCAGTGCTGGGGGACCATACGGGATGCCAGGGATTGAGTCCGGGTCAGCCGTATGCAAGGCAAACGCCCTATGCGCTGTACTATCGCTCTGGGCGATACCTTGCATTCTATCCTAACTAAATGCCCACCTAGGCTGCTGCCTCAGCCAAGGGAGAACTTCCTGGAAGCCCGGGTGACTTCCTCGAAGTGGAGCCGTTGCCTTCATAGCTGTCTCTGGCCCACAGACCACCGCCGTGGACATCTTCTCCGCCGGCTGCCTCTTCTACTACGTGCTTTCTGGTGGCAGCCACCCCTTCGGAGAAAGCCTTTATCGTCAGGCCAACATACTGGCGGGAACGCCCTCTCTGGAACACTTAGAGGAGGAGGTTCATGGTAAGCAGTGGGGGTGAGCGGGGGTGATGTGGGGAGCAGGGCACGAGGCTGGCTGGGCCTGACACCACCCCTCTATCTCGCCTGCAGACAAGGTCCTGGCTCGGAACGTGGTGGAGGCCATGCTGAGCCCACTGCCTCGGGAGCGCCCCTCTGCGCCCCAGGTGCTGGCGCACCCCTTCTTCTGGAGCAGGGCCAAGCAGCTCCAGTTTTTCCAGGTCGGGGGAGATCCTGGGAGCAGCCCCAGAAAACCCCTAGTTTGCGTTCTGGGTCAGCAGTCCCAATCCGCTGAAGCCCAGCCATGGGTGCACAGGGCTTGGTGCCTGAGCCCAGGGCTTACTGCTGGGCCCTCCTAGGATGTCAGTGACTGGCTGGAGAAGGAGCCGGAGCGGGGGCCGCTGGTGACGGCGCTGGAGGCAGGAGGAGCCGCCGTGGTGCGAGGCGACTGGCACACGCACATCTCTGTGCCACTGCAGACAGGTAAAGGCGACCCTGGGGACGGGCAGGGGCACCCCGCAGGGCCAGCTTTGCCACTCAGTGCCCTGCCCCCAGATCTGAGACGGTTCCGGTCGTACAAGGGGACATCAGTGCGGGACCTGCTCCGTGCCATGAGGAACAAGGTGGGTTTGGGGACGTGGGCGGGGCCGGGGGGGCCCAGTCACCCCTGAGCCAGGACTCTGCCCTCCGCGCCCCCAGAAGCACCACTACCGGGAGCTCCCGGCGGAGGCCCGGCGGGCACTCGGCCGCATCCCCGACGGCTTCGTGCAGTACTTCACGACCCGATTCCCCCACCTGCTGCTCCACACGCACGGCGCCATGAGGAGCTGCGCCTCCGAGAGCCTCTTCCTGCCCTACTATGCGCCAGCCTCGAGGGCCAGGGAGCCATGCCCGGGGGCCGCAGGGAGCTGAGGTCAGCCAAGACGGCTGGAGACTTGGCAGCGGGGGCTACTGGAGGAAAGAGGTGCTGGAAGCCCCCAGGAAGAGATCCGAAAAAGAAGATTCACATGTGTTTAATATGTATAAAGACAAGAAAAGGACAGTCCCAGATTCACTAGCGATACTCTGTACAATTCATACAGTGGGGCTGAGAGGAAGGGGTGGTCGCACCTGCAGCCAGAACATGTACAAAATAACTTACCCAGCAACCCCACCACATGGGCGGCGCAGCTCTGGCCCCAGCCCCCAGGGCCGGGGCGCACCTTAGCAAAGCAGCACCCGCGGGGCTGACCAGCAGGGGCCACGCGCTGAGTCCAGAGGGGAACAGGCGCTATGAGGAGGCCTTGAGGCGGTTGGAGGCCGAGCGTGAGCTGAGCAGCTTGTCCACCATGGTGCGGGCATAGCGCAGCCGGCTGGCCAGCTCCTTGGAGCAGCCAAACTCCTCCAGGAGGCTCAGGCGGTAGGTGCGGAAGTCGCGTTTCTCGTCGATGTAGGTGACGGCAGCCATCAGTGGACACAGGATGAGTTTGGTGTGGTCCTAGGACGGGTGGGATGGACAAGAGCTCAGCCTGGGAAGGGCCATGTTAGCAGCTGGGGCGTGGGCCCCCAGCGTCCTGGCCAGCTCGGCACCCCCCGACTCCGCGGCACGTCGCCAGCTCACCTGGAAGAAGTTGATCTGCACACAGCCGTTACTGAGGTGCAGGATGATGGCGCTGCGAGTGCGGAACCAGGTGCGCAGGTATGGGAGCCGGGCCAGCTCATCTCCTTCTCGGGGGGTGATGTTGGCCCCCGCCTTCAGCAGGTGCTCGCTCATGTAGTTCCGGAAGTACTTCAGCAGGGTGATCTGGTGTGAACTGCAGTGAGCCGGGCCCTAGGGGGTGGCGCTCCCTGGCCCGCCCGCCCACCCACCACCAGCCTCGGCGCCCTGGCCGGCCTGTTCTCACCTTCTTCATCAGGGAGTTGGGGTGGGTGCTGACGCTGAGGTAGGACTCGGAGCCGTCACGCTCGATGTACTGCAGGCTGTCGCCGTCATTATAGAGGATGAGGCGCGTGGAGTCGTTGAAGAGCACCCCCACGCTGTTGTCACACAGCTGGTACCCTAGTGGCAGCAGGCGCAGGACCATGAGGAGGGGAAGCCGGGAGGGAGAGGGGCGGGGAGGAGCGTGGAGTCCCGACAGACCCCGGAAGACACCTACCCAGGCCATACTTGTCCGAGTAGTCAACCCACTTGCTGACCCAGAAGATGGGGATGCAGGCAGGGTCCTCGGCCTCCTCTGGACACAAACACAAGTGGTCAGAAGCCACTCCTCCCCACACAGGGAGCTCCGCTGAGAATCCCAGCTGGGCTCCATGCAAAGGCCCCAGCCCCCAGGGAAGGCCAAAGCACCACCCACGCAGGAAGCCCTCTTGCCAAATCCAACCAGCACATCTGCCATGAGGGGCAACTGACCAGGGGAGAACGGGACAAGTACAAGCGGGGGGGAACTGGAGTGCTCACGAGGCACCGAGACAGATGTGTGACAGAGGCAAGTGAGTGAGCCACGCAGACTCTGGAGAAGAATGTTCCAGAAAGGGAGTTGTGTGAGTAAAAGCCCCACGCGGAGCGCAGCTGGGTCTTCAACAGCGGTGAAGGCTGAGCAGGAAGCGGGTGGCGAGACGCGTGTAAGACGACAAAGCCACAGAGGTGCTGCTGGTGGCGGCCAGGTTGGAGGGTCGGACAGAGGCAGGAGCCTGGCCGGGGACGCCCTGCAGCTCGGTGCTCTGGCTTACTCTCATCTTTAGGTCCCTCAGGAGGCCAGGCTGGACAAGCCACCAAACACGGCTGGCTGCGAGCTGCCTGGCCCGTGCCGAAGCCACATCGAGGGCGCCTGGATGCCCACCTTGCCGCACCAGCCCGCGCTCCGAGGGCTTGGATGCGTTGACGCTGTTCAGCTGCTGCAGCATGTCGCCCAGGTGGCAGTCGGCCGCCTCGCCACCCTCCCGGACAGGCTCCTCTTTCTCCCGGGGGCGCTCGGGCACGGAGTTCTCCATCCCTAGGAAGATGAGGCACTGATCAGCTGGGCCCCAGCGCCAGTGCCCCCGCCCTCTGCCACCGTTTCAGGGGAACGGAGCCTTGCCTGGTTATCCACAGAGCACTGATGCCAGGCTCAGGACGAGGATGCAGGGCTCCCCAGCAGCTCCAGGGCCCGGCCACTCCCCCTAAGGCATCCAGGCCACCTGGAGTCCCAGAATCCCCTGCTGCTGGGAGCCCCGCGCAGTGGGGGCTGCCCTGCCCAGCCACAAGTACAACAGAGGCTGCATCCAGAGAGACGGGCGGGCCCAGGACCCCGCCACACACCAGCACCAACACCAGGGGCTCTCGGAGTCTGAGAAGTCAAAACCTCAGAGATGTCTCCAGGCACAGCAGAGATCTCCAAGGGTCAGAGACCCCCTCTGACCCGGAAACACTGGTTACCTGTTCTAGTCTTTGTGCTTACATGCTTCATTCTGTAACATGCACTAGCTCTTCTTGTACAATATGAACATTTTCTTGAGATATTTAAAGATCGGAGTTTCTATTTACAATGATGATGGGGGGAAACAACAAAAAAACACACCACAAATGGGCTGATGACCAGTAGGGGAGGCCAGACACTGTGCTGCAGTAGTGGCAGCGACCTGTCCATGGTTCAAATTCCTGTGCCCTGAGCACTGCCGGGGGTCACACCTGAGCAGAGGATTAGACCCCGAGGACCACCAGATGTGGCCCAAAACTGCTTCTCGCCCCTTCCTCAATAAACCACCACCAACAACAAAAAAAAAACCCACAACATCCCCATGCTGTGATAGGGACTTAGTATGAAATAAGATATCTGGGACTTACCCTATCTACCTTGTGTAAGATTTTTTTCAAATCTTCATATAATGGTGGTACCCCACTTTTGGGGGGGGGGGGATCTAGTATAAAATCTGCCACAATTGTACAATGAAAAGCAGTACTTTAAAAACTACCAAAAAGGCAGCTGGAGAGATAGTACAGCAAGGCAGGGTGCTTTCCTCGCATGCGGCCAACCCGTGTTCAGTTTCCAATATCCCATACGGTCCCCTGACCCTACCAGGAGTGATCCCTGACCATGGAGCCAGGATTAAGTCCTGAGCACTGCCAGGTATGGCCCCAAACTATCACGGTCACAGTCCTCCCGTTGTTCATCAATTTGCTTGAGCAGGCCCAGTAACGTCTCATCGTGAGACTTCTTGTTACTGTGTTTGGCATTTTGAATACGTCACGGGGAGCTTGCCAGGCTTTGCCGTACGGGCGAGATACTCTTGGGAGCTTGCCGGGCTCTCCGAGAGGGACAGAGGAATCGAACCCGGCTCGGCCGGGCTGGCTGCGTGCAAGGCAAACGCCCTACCGCTGCACTATCGCTCCAGCCCCAAACTATAAATAAACAAATTAAAAAAATAGACGGGACTCATAAAATAGTCCTCTTGACTTTGCTTAAGTTTTTTTTTCTTTTTTGTTGGGGGAGGACACACTTGGCAGTGCTCAGGGATCACTCTCATTGGGGCTTGGGGGATCACATGCTGTATCAGGGAACAAATTGGGGTTGGCCTGTGCAAGGGATGTATCCTGCCCGCAATACTCTCCTCCAGCCCTGATCTCAGTTCAAGGTTTCAAACTTTCTAGTGCAAGTTTTTAAAACATGCTCTCTGTTCAAAGATTAAAAAAAAAAAGAAAAAAGCCACCCTTCAAGTAACAGTATTACAACAAAGTCCAAGTAACAAACCCAGGATACTGATCCATGGGCGGGAGGAAGGAGATAGCTGCTCCCTCCAGAATCCAGAGTGTGTGGAGGATGAGAAAGAAGCGCCTGGCAGGAGCCCATCACTAAGTGCTCCCCGCACCTAGCCAGGAGCAGCTGGAGTACTGTGAATGCGGCCCCAAGAGCCATTAGCATTTTCGGCTCAAATCAGTGGGAAAACTTGTGAGAAACAGGATCCTCTTAAAGTAGCCCCGGGTAAAGTATTTATTAACCACAGAGGAAAAACCTGTAACTGCACAGTAGAGAAACCATCAGATATCACTAGAGTGATGGAAATCAGTGTTTCTCAAAGAGGGACCTTATGGGGACCCCTCTAGAATGTTCCAAGGGGGCTACAGCATAAGACCAGGGAGTCAACAGGTAGGATAGGGGCCACAGTTAGAAAGACTTAAAAAAAACTTCTTGCATCTTTAGTGAAATATGTCTCAAAGGACAAATACAAATGCTAGGAAATAAGTCATTACTTAGTAACAGAAATTAATTTACACGGAAACTGAAAAACCCATTTTATATAATCTATATGAATATCTTAATAAAATTTGTTCATATACAAGTTGAAAAACTACCTCCACCTTATACACGTTGAAAAATTACCTACATCTCACTGTGATAAAATTAAAAAAAAAATTAAATTACCTAGAGTATCATAAGAGAGCTTTTCAGTTTAAAAAAATATGAGCATAATAAAGTAAAAGCCCTTTTATATTTGAATCAGGCACTTAAATTAAGAAAAAGATAGCTACACCACAGCAGAGAGACAGTACTAGACAATACTGTATCAATGTTACATTTCCTGAACTCAACTGTGCCCTGTGCTGTGGTCTGTGAAACAAAAGAAAAATAAAGAGATAAAGCAAATATAAGAAAGATGTTGATTGCCGGAAAAGGTTGGAAAACTGTGAGTCAGAAAGATCTGCATAACCTCAAGGCTCTCTGCCCCCGCACCACCCCCACCCCCTCATGCAGTTCCTAATCCTGTCCTCTGAAACAAACGCCGCAATGGCATTTGTGGGTTTGTTATTTTGGTTTTGGGGCCTTTCCTGCTCGGTGCCTAACTCTGGCTCTATGCTGGGGATAGAACCTTGGTTGGCTATAAGCAAGGCGAGAACCTACACACTGTAGTCTCTCCAGCTCTGGCGTGTGGTCTTACCAGCAGCCCCTCCCCTTAACGCACACTGAAATTTGCAAGGGCTAAAAAGCTAGCTGTCTTACTTGAACTGCATTCTAACAGAATGTTTCAGAGGGCATCCCCGGACGCCTCTTCCGGGCCACAGGGTCTGCTCCCTGCTATCTTTCTTGAAGGAGGCCCCAGGGGAAAAGGGCCTGTGGACACAGCAGGGGCCACTGATGTGGCCATCCCAGACACATCCATTACCTTTATTGAGGACTGTGAGTGGCTTCCGGCTGCCAGGGTCCAGGCTGCTGGGAGCAATGGAGAACCGGGGCGGGATGGTGAGGCAGGTGATGGGGAGCCGGGCGGGAATGTAACCGGAAGTAAAGAACTCGTCATTGAGCAGCTCGTGAATGGTCGGGCGAGCAGTGGGATCTGTCTGAAGCATCTTCTGGATGAGGGAGGCGGCCACCGGGTTGATGTGCTGGAGCAGAGAGAGATCGTCGTGAGGAGGCGGCGACAGGGATCCCAGTGCCACCAGCAGGTACAGGCATGTGCTCACATGCAGCCCCCGGTCTCAAGTATGCCAAGTTCCCACAAGTGTCGTCTAGCTAGGGAACTCTGCCTTCCTTTGGAGAAGCAGTATTAATCAGGCTTTCTGCAACGCCCTCAGCTCGCTATTGAAGGAGTCAAAACGCTCCCCAGCTCCCCACTAGAACAGCGCTTGAGAACACACATCCTTTTTTTGTTTGGGGGCCATATCCAGCAGTGGGCTGGAGCGATAGCACAGTGGGTAGGGCGTCTGACTTGCACACGGCCAACCCGGGTTCGATTCCTCCACCCCTCTCAGACAGCCCAGCAAGCTACCCATGACATATTCAATATGCCAAAAACAGTAACAACAAGACTCACAATTTGTTGTGAGACACTGCTGGTGCCCACTCGAGCAAATCGATGAACAACGGGAGGACAGTGCTACAGTGCTACCCAGCAGTGCTCAGGGCTTACTCCTGGCTTTGCACGTGGGAGTTCTGGCGGTGCTTGAGGGACCAGATGGGACGCTGGGGATCAAACCTGGGTCAGCCGCAAGCCAAGGCAAACACACTCTGCCCACTACACTATTGCTCCAGCCTGAAAACATGCTCTGAGGTTTGAAAGAGCAGGTTTGAGAGAGCACCGCCCTACTAGGCTTTACGCCCTAGTGCTGCCCTTCACGCCAGCTGCGATGAATCACTCTTTACAGGGTCTCCGTATCAGCATCAAGCCTGAAGCCCAAGTGAAAAGCTTCAAGGCTATAACCCCAGCGCAAATTAAATGCAGAAAGAAGCCACCATCAACAACACACTCACACGTGCTAGCAAAGCACTTCATTCACGCTCATTTCAATACAGTATAAGTAACCCTAAAACACAAACATTTACCTGGGGTCAGATAGGCCTGGAGCCACAGTCTAGCAGGTAAGGTACCTGCCTTGCACATGGCTGATACAGGTTGATCCCCAGAACCCCACACCCATCAGGAGTGATCCCTGAGCATAAAGCCAGGAATCATCCCTGAGCACTGGCAGTGCGGCACAAAACCACCAACAAAAACAAAACAACACCCCCCACCCCATCCCTGCAAAATATGCAGGAATTTTGTAGGAGAAACAGTACAGGGATGAACCTGCTGACACAGGCATGCCACATGCAACACTAGAATGGGGCCTAACGCACACCACCTGCAGTGCTGGCAGCAGGGAGTCTTGCCATGCATCTCTCCATGCACACTGCCCTACTCGGATCTGATCCCTGCTACCACTCTCCCCCAAGCACAGAGCCGTGTACCATGCATGGTCCCAGCTCCCCCAGTCCCCCCAACCCCCAGCACCTAAAGGGGACGCCTTCATCGCCATCCCTCCTTTGCAGCCCTGAACACTGAGGCATTTCCCTCAGATGCACTCACCCCTCCCTGGGCCAGGGAGGTGGGCTAAAGGGGACCTGCTACATAGGTGCCAACCCCCCTTTAGCCCCTGTACCACACGGCTCCTAAGAACTGCAGGGCTGGTCCGTGGGCCGCCTGGCACTCTGTTCTCAGACCAGAACACAGCCCGGCTGGATGAGTACTGCCCAGAGTGTCTTGGGGTGCCCCAAGGGCTGGGGGTCCCAGCAGCACAGCCAGCCCCAGGGGTGTCAGCACCCAGACTCGAGCAGTCTCATGGACATAAGCACCCTGGAATCCAGCGCCACACTTGGCAGTCCCCCCTTTTCTGCTTCCGAAGGTCCTTTAGGATGAGGGGCTGTAAACCACCACTGCAGTGGGAGCTATTCCGTGGGGTGTGTTTATGCTGGTGGCTGGGAAAAGGCACATCACTCAGATTCAGCGTCTCATGTTGTGTGAGCACTTACTGCCTGCAAGGCCCTCTGGGAGGTGCTCCAGAGGCAGGAACCGAGAACCCCCAGGACTTAGGCTGGCTGCCCCAGGTGGCCTGGCTATGCCGCGCAACGGAAGTGCCCTACATCTGCGCTTGGCGCCGGCCCCAGCCAAGACCTTTGGAAATATCTACACCGGTGTGTTCCAACCTTTTCCCATCCGGTACCCCTTCTGATCTCATTTCCTCCCCAAAGCCCCCTCTGAGAAACACAAATCTGCCATCGATGAGATCTACACCCGACCTCTCTGTTCACCATGGCCCCCGCCCCCCGCCACACACACACACACACACACACCAAAAACCTTTCATGCACATATACGAAGGGCCACCAGCAATTTCAGATATGGCGCTTTCTGAAGCTCTGTGACTTCCTGGTGGGTGAGAGTGACCTATCCTGGTGTCCAATATTCAGCTGAATTCAATTTCCCAAAACAGCTTTGTAGGAGAATCAACTTGTGTGTGTGAGCGTGTGCAGTCACCTTGGGGATGCTGTACTCATTCTTCTTGATCCGGAGATAGGTCTCCTTAAGGCAGGAGGTCTCAAAAGGGGGCTTGCCCACTAACAAGGTGTACCTGCAAGCAAAGTGGGATTGCGCTCAAGGCTCCCCGTGGAAACCCGGAGCACAAGGCATCATCTTGGGGACCCGAGGGTGGGCAGGCACCCACTCTGGTCCTGGGGCACTGGACACCAGGGCAGGAGCACCCTCAGCAGGTGCTAAGCAGGATTCTCCCTGTCAGTGTGTTTCCTGCTGCCCCCTGCAGGTGACAGGCATCGCCCTAGAGGCGACAGGCATCACCTGGCAGATCAGAATGGAGGGCTGATGGCACTGGAGCACTGGGCTGTGGGGGTCCTTCTGGCTTCAAGCTATTATTTGAAAAGCTCCAGTGCAAACCAGTGGCTTGCTGCTCCTGACTTGAGCAAACCCGCACCTGGGCAGCAACTAAGACCACACTGAGAAGGGCCCAGCCTCTCCTATCAGTGAAACACCTGGCCCTCCCCCCTGCCCCAGGCTGCTCCAGAGCCAGGGTACACCCAGCCTCTGAACAAGCCTCACCCTGGGATCTCGTCAGGATCCAGGTTCTGCATCAATGGTCTGGGTTCCCAAGATACTGCTTTTCTAACAAGCCCCCAGGGGACCATGGTGCCCCTTGCTGGACCATAAATCAAGGCGCAAAGGGCGCCAGTGCAGCTGCAGAGTGTCCTCTGCCCCTTCCCAGACCCACAGACCCATCAGAGATGAGAGGTGAGGGACAAGAGGCAGCGAGTGAGAGAGCGACAGAGCCAGGCCTGTGTGGTGGCACTCTGCCTCCGGAGCAGCCAGGCCAGGAGGACGTCCCAATGAGGCCCTGCCCCGGACAGCTGGTTCCTGAGACAGCTCTCCACTTACATGATGCAGCCGATGGACCACACGTCCACCTCGAAACTGTGCCCTTTCTTGCTCAGCACCTCGGGAGCTATGTAATTAGGAGTCCCGCACAGGGTCTTCTTCCGCTCCCCGTCGTATTCGACTCTCGTGGCCAGTCCAAAATCCCCTGCGACGGAGGGAGAAGAGGAAGCACTCAGCTGCAGGCCTGTCGTCTATCAATGCCGACCACGGTTCAGGCTCGACCAGGAAGACGCAGGCAAGAGTACCTTGGGCCTCTGCGCCAGGTACACGGCAAAGATGGGCCCAGGGGTCCAGCCACCTCTCGGCCCCACTCCTTATAGGGAGGGTCCTCCACCTAAGAGGGATCAGCAACACCCCAACGTTTCCCAGGCCCAAGCTCAGAAACGCCAAGACAGACTGTGGCAAAGAAGTCTAAAGGCAGAGTCCTTTTCCACACAACCAATTTTTTGCCCAGAAGAAATGTGCCCCCGATGCCTAAATCTCCCAGTTGTTTAAAAGCAGCCCTGGAGTCAACTCATCGCACGTAAAGCAGGGTCTGGGCTGCATCTCAACACCACTTGGCGCCTACCCTTGAGCAGAGTCCCTAAGTAACCTAAGTACTGCTGAGTGACCCCCCCCAACCAAAAGAATAAAGGATCCTCAAATTGAAACATTTATGTCAAATCTCCAACAGAAACATGGAAACAAATCCGAATTATAGTTAGTACCATGTAGGGGTACCGACAAATATGTCTGCACACAAGCGCCTGCCTTGGGGCTCCCTTTAAACGTGCATTAGAAAGTGGAGCAATGGGTGTACAGTGGGTGGGGTGTTTGCCCTGCACGCGGCGCTAACCTGGGGTCCTATCCCCGGCATCCCATAAGGCCCCCTGAGTGCTGCCAAGAGTACTTCCTCAGTGCTGAGTAAGGAGTAACCCCTGAGCATCACCAGGTGTGACCCCAAAAGCCAAAGACAAAAAAAGAAGGAAAAAGTGGATTCTCCATCCCTCAAGAGCCCAAGCCTCCTAGTGCCTCTTCCTCCTCCAGGCCTTCCCGCCTCTTGTAATGGTGTCGGGCACCCCCTGCTGTGGGCAGAGCAGCTCACCTATTTTCACCTCCAGATCCTCATTGAGGAAGAGGTTGCCCAGTTTGAGGTCCCGGTGGATGACCCGGTTCTGATGCAGGTACTGGCAGCCCAGGATGATCTGGCGCAGGTAGTAGCGGGCCTCGGGCTCCGTCAGCGCTTTCCTCCGCTTGTGCAGTTCCAGGAGGGACTAGGTAAGGCAAGGAGAGAAATGAAGGTCCAGGATGAGGCCCAAGCTGGGAAGAGGGGTGCTTAGGTTAAGAGGGCCGGGCCCTCCCTCAAGCTTGGCCACAGAGGCCCCTTCTCCGGAGACCCCTTCCGGAAGCCCAGTCGCCTTCTCCCCGGGGCCTCCGGGTGGCAGCAGATCCCTTCCCGGGCCAGAAGCTCCGCGGTTCGCCTCCGACCCCTCCCCCCACGCCACCCTCCAGTCCTACTCCGGAAGTGCCCGGCCTGCAGCACCCCTAGGCAGGGGTCCTCCCTCGGCAACCCCGGGAGCCCCGGGGCCCATGGGCCCGGGGGACTCCGCAGACCTCCTGGTTCCGGAGGGCACTCCGTGGACTCCTGGCCCCGAGGGGCCGGGCCAGGAGCAGCAATCCGAGCTGGCCCCACTCGCACGCACCCTCCCCCCGGGCTGCAGCCCCCCGGCAGCCCCGGCCGGCGCTCACCCTGCGGCGGCACAGCTCCAGGACGACGAACACGAAGTCGTTGTCCTCGAAGAAGCCGTGGAAGCCCACGACGTGCTGGTGGGCGAGGCTGCGGTGGATGGCGATCTCCATGGACATCTTCTCCTTCTGGTGCGGCTTGAGCAGCAGCGACTTGGGCACGATCTTGCCCGCGAACACCTCCTTGGAGTCGGCGTCCGAGATCTCGAAGCACTTGGCGAAGCCCCCCTTGCCCAGGAAGCGGCCCCGCAGGTAGCGCCGCCGGCTGCGCGGGTCCAGCAGGACCTCCGGGATCTCCTTGGCCGGCGGGCCGGGCGCCGGGGCCCCGGGGGCCCCGGCTCTCCCGGCGTCGGCGGGCACCCGCGCCAGCTTCGCTGCAGCGGCGGCCGCGTTCATGCTCCGGACTCGCTCGGCCGACCTCGCCGGGTCTGGGCCGCGCCTGGCGCCGCGCCGCTCCTCCCCGAATTCAAACGCGGAGCCGGGAACGTTACACGGGCCTGCGCGCCGCTGATTGGCCGCGGGGATTTAAAATCCAAACCCGCCCGCCGCGCGGCACCCTGGGAGCGCCGCCGCCCGGCTTGATTGACAGGGAGGCCGCGCCCCGGCAGGCACGCGGGCGCCTGGGCGGCCGGGCCCGCGCGGGGAGGCCGAGCGCCCGGCCCCGGGCGTCCCGCGCTCCCCACTTTCCGGGCGGGGCGAGCCCCCAGCATCCCCTCCAGGCGCTCCCGGAGCTCCCCGCCGCCGCCCACCCGGCCGTCGAGAATGCAAGCCGAGGTCCGGCTGCGCTCGACTGCAGCTCGGAAGAGAAGGCAGCCGCCGGTCTGCGGGTGAACCGAGCAGGGGCGGGAAGCTCGGTGGCCCCGCACCTCCCCGGCGAGCCCACTACCACCTCGTCCGAAGGCCACCGAGCTCCGCCAGTGGAGCGCGGCCGCCCGCACGGCCCGCAGCTGGGGCTGTTTAGGCAAGCACGCCTGCAAGCCGCCCCCCACCCCCCACCGGCAGCCGGTCAGCACGCCCGCGGTCGGTGCGGCTGTGCAGGCTGAAAGTTGGGAAGCGCCAGGCCAGCCCCGCCCTGTGCCTGAGGGCCGTCCGCTCCCCCAGGACCTAACACGGCAGCCCTCCACTGTGCAGGAGGTTGGGCTGGTGGGAAGAAAGCCCTGCAAAGGGTCATCCACGGTGTGGTCCCCTGGCATCCCACAGGGTCCCGGAGCACCCCCAGGAGTAATTCATGTGTGCAGTCCCACACACCAAAAAAAAAAAAAAAATCAGATCTGAAGGACCCAGGAAAAAGAGGAAAATCACATGAGCTCAGCGTGAACCCCACCTAGTACCACAAAACAAAATTCATAGGGTTTTTCCTGAAAACAAACAACAAAATTGAAAGCCAGCAATTTGCCATCGCACTTCCACCGGCTGCCACAGCTCCCAGCTCCTCTACCCTTGTGGCTTCTACCGAGTGGCAACCTTAATTGGCAAAATACAACACCAGAGTTAGAAATCCTTCCTCTGTGCTCCTAAGCGCCCAAGGTCAGAGAGAGTCAAGCAAAATCATCTGTATTACAAGCATCCCTTCCACCACCCAATAAACTGAGAAGCAATGATATGATGTCTCCTGAACTCTGTCCTAAGTGGCCAGCACAGTGCCTCCTGAAAAGGAGTAATTAAAACATCTGCTGATGGGTCTGGAGAATGGACAGCAGGTAGGGAGCTGGGCTTGCATGCAGCTGACCTGGGCATCTCATATGGTTCTGCCAGGAGTAATTCCTGAGTACAGAGCCAGGCGTTTTAACCCCTGAGCATCGCTGGAGGTGGCCCAGAAAAACCTAAAAAAATAAAATGTCTGCTGCTAAGAGCCAGAGAGCTCAGAGGGCCTGGAACACATGCCTGGCATGTGTTCGTTCCTGGGTTCAGTCCTTGGCACTGCATGACCCCCCCCCAATAAAAGATTTTTTTGGAATGAATGCTTTATCCCTGTGGTTTGTCATCTTTTTATTGAAGCTGAATCTATGCTCAGAAAATGTATACATGTACTTTGGAGTTTGAAATGCGTGAACTTAAACACGCTCCATGCAAACAGCACTCAGACTAAGAAAGAAGAATGGTACTAACACCCCAGAAGTCCCCGCATGCCTGGATTAAGGGTCTCCAAGCCCTCCCCTCCCAGTTTGATTCGTTAGGAGACTCCCAAGGCCCAGCATGCAGTTCCCTCATGGACAGCTCTGACACAGGCTCTGAGTTATCCTAGAGAGAGGCTGGCTGATGCAGAATCAGCAGAGGAAGCCAAAAGCAAGCTGCTGGGTGTTCTCAAGGGGCGGGCTGGGGAGGGAGCTGGGGAGGGAGCAGGGGGAAGCACCCAGGACACACTCCATTCTGAGTGGTGCCACACATGGGAAATGTGATCTACCAGGACAGCTCCTTAGAGAGTCCCTGGGATTTTGGTAGGAAAGGTCAAGGTCCTCTGCTCCGCATAAATCCAAAGCCCAGACAGACTCCTACAAGGAAAGCAAGCAGTGCTCAACAGAAAATGCAGGGAGAGGAGGGGAGGGGAGAGAAGAAAATGCACAGGAAGAGTCCCTCTGGTTGCCATTTAAGGAACAGTGTATGCGTGCCCCAAATCCAAGCACCCAGCGAGTCCTGCAAACTGGCCATATCTGCCCTTTCGGCCCCCCTCCCCTTCCTTCCCGGCTCGCCTCCTCCACAATCCTAGTGTTATTTGGTCCGCGGCTGGCAGTGCAGGCACTCGCAAATGCAGGGCATCCCTCTGAGTCACACCCTCGGGGATGTCCCTTAGCTACAAGCACCCAAGGCACGATTCAAAGCAAAGGACCAAAAGTAAAGGTGGGGAAGGGGGTGGGTTTCATTCATTATTCACAGGTCACTGAGAACTCACTGCAAATGAAAGTTTCACTTTTTTTGGTCCTTTTTTCCCCCTTTTCTGGTAGAGGGAGAGATACAGTGGTACTTGGGAGTGGAGATGTAGGCACATTCTGCGAGATTCTTCGGGGTCACTCCTAGCAATGCTCAAGGGACACGGAGGTGCTGGGGACGGACCTGGGGCTCCAACATGCAAACCTGCCCTCCACCCACCTTGAGCTTTCCCTCCTCCCTCTCTGGGGTTTTGAATAGCTCTGCCAGACTCCTCTGGAGTCCTCCCTGAGATGAAGCTTTGACCTATCTACAGTTATTTCGCAGAATATAACCTATCTGCCTGATGTCGGTAATCATAATACAAAACGAACCTCAAAGCAAAAAGTTACCAAAAAAAAAAAAATTAAAAAAAAAAAAGAGCTAGGGGCCGGAGCAATAGCACAGTGGGTAGGGCATTTGCCTTGCACACAGCCAACCCAGGATCGATTCCCAGCATCCCATATAGTCCCAAGTACCACCAGGGGTAATTCCCGAGTGCAGAGCCAGGAGTAACCCTTGTGCATCACCAGGTGTGACCCAAAGAGCAAAATAATACCCAAAAAAAAAAAAAAAAACGAGACCCCAAGTCGCTGCCCATAAATGGCCTCTCTGGCTCCTGATCAAGATGATTAACGGCCATGATCCCAGAAACTCACAAACAAATCTCGAAACCCAGCGGCTTTTGGCAGAAATGCGTTCGGTCCCCGCAGTAGGTTACTGTCACTGGGCCACCCCAGGGGAGAAAGGGTGCTGTCCCTATGCCTGCTCCCCCTTGGCGGCTCAGTGGCCAGCATCCACCAAAGGCCATTGGACAGTCAGGTTTGGGCCCGTAGTGAGGAGACACGTGGGGCCTCACGGGATGGGGGTGGAGCCAGCCCTTTCCTCCCCATCCCAATGAGACCCCGAGTCACCGCCCATGAATGGCCTCTCTGGCTCCTAATCAAGCTGCTTAACAGCCATGATCTCAGAGACTCAGGCACAAATCTCGGAAACCAGCAGGTTTTGGCAGAAATCCCTCTATATTTAAATTTTAAAATTTCGGAATTTCAAAATTGCGCAGCCACTACTGCAGCCACACGATATCATATGTTATTCATAACCAGCAATAGAAAACAAATTGTCTACGGTTGCCTTTTCAGCAGATGAGTGTTGGGGTAAAACCCCAAGTAATAATGGTGGGTCTGGTTTCAAAATATTGAATGTAATCAAAGTAGAGAGAGAATAATGTGGAAATCATCTTTCCCACAGGTGGGGGGGGGGTGTAAGATGGGGGTATACTGGGGATTTTGGTGGTGGATAATGGGCACTGGTGAAGGAACGTGTGTTTCATCGTATGACCGAGACTTAAACCCAAAAGCTTTGTAACTGCTCTCATGGTGAGCCAATAAATACAATTATTAAAAATAAAAAAGGTGGAGTTCATGCCCAATTCAATCAGCTAAAATCAGCTAATCAGTGGCTGAATAAACAGCAGTACTCCTACATAAAAAAAAAAAAACATGAATCTCTGTGACCCTTAAACTTTACAGAGATGAACTTATGCAACCCTCACAAAATGAGCACTTCAGGTTACTTTCCAGTCATGGAGCCAGAAGGTGACAGGGAGCATCACCCCAACGCTACGGACTCTAAAGACGCACCACAAATGGCTCGCAGTGCTTACTGCCTGCTAAGTGCCCAATCCCAGGCTCCAGAGCCGCGTTCTCCTTCCCTCCCCACCCAAAACCAGGACTCAAGAAGCCTGGGCTCCAATGTCAGCCGCGGGCAAGTCTCAGACCCTCTCATGCCCCTGGTCCCATCAAGTGGAGGTGGTCATGTCTGTTCCCTAGCGCTCTAGTCAAGGGTTGGTGCGCCTATCTCCTAGGGCTCTCGGGAAAAGTCTTTGAGGATGGTGCTCCAGCCACTGTTATCACCAAAACTATAGAAACTGCATCTCGTCCCAGGGTGCTCGCCTCCAGAGGCCCCTCTCCCACCGCCCTCTGCTTTCTGGGCTCTGGCTGCTCCCCAGGGAAATCAGAAAGCACACGTAGCAGACACCAGAGGGGAGGGGGAAGCCAGCACGAGCCAGGGCGGAGAAAAACCTCAGGCTTCCGTGCCGAGGTCTGAGAGCCAGGCGGTGTCGTTTCCCTGCCTGTGCCTCTTGGGGATGACTGGCACATGCACAGTCTCTCCAGCTGGCCGGGAGTGACCAGGCCACTTTCTCTCCTGGAGAAGCAAGGTACTCTGCTCTGTGCTGAACTGCCCCACCCCTGGGAAGCGGGGGGACGGGGGGGGGGGGAGGTCAGGTCAGAAAAGCATGATGAAAGCAGGTGCAGCCAAGCTGCTTAGAAATATCTAGAAAGCAGAGGCTTAACACAACAAAAGCCCAGGAGACTGCGAGCTGCATGAACACCTGGCAGCCAGGTAAGACTTGGCTGGGGTTCCGCCTCCTCCAGTCTACGATATGGGTCAAGCTGACTTCCCCTCTTCCTCTCCGAAGATCAGTTCCTCCCCCTTAATGAATTATAAAAGCTCCACTTGGGCTGGAGAAACAATACAGTGGGTCAGGCGCTACATTCCCTATGTTCCCCGAGCTTTCCAGGAGTGACCCCTGAGCACTGCCAGGTGTGGCACAGAAAAAACAAAACAAAACCAAAACCAAAGAAAAGCTTCTACTATTTTAACAGCTCGGGAGGATTAAATGTTTTCTAGCAAGTGGATGTCCCCGACCCTCGAACAAGACAAAACAAGGACTGGTCTGGAGAGGTAATATGGCAGGGTAGTGTCTGCCTTGCAGGTGGATGTCTAGGGTTCGATTTCTGGCACCACACAGCCCCCTCCCCACCCTGAGCCCTGCCACCAACAATCCCTGAGAGCCAGGAATAATCCTGAGCACTGATGGGTGGGGAGCCGGAGAGCCAACTAGAGCATTAAGAGTCTGGAGTCCTGCCGGAAGCCTAATCTAGCCCTGGCCTTCTGGGCCACCGGAACCACCCAATGTCCCCTAGCCGGTGCCCTCGGTCAACAGGAGTGTCAGCTGAGGTCTCTCCCACCAGTCCCTCCCTGGAGTTGGGGGAAAGAGACTCTGCTCTGCGGTAATGACAATAACTGCCCGCGGCCAGTCCCCAGGGAGAGAGCCACCATGGAGACAGAGTCCAGCTGAACTGTCACCAGGCGCGCCCTCGTGGTGGTCCCCGCACGACACGCAGTAGCACCCCATGACAACAGACTCATTTACTGGTTGTCACTTCTGCTTCGTCTGGAACAGGGCTGCGGCTCCTCTGCTCCGTGGGAGGATGGAGGAAAGTGTGGGAGGAAGGAGCTGCCACTACATCCAGGCCGAGGGACGGGCTTGCTGTCACCCAAGGTCCCTTCTTGTCCTCCCCTTTGGCTGCCCAGTTGGTCTCTCCTGAGCTCACTGTGGCCGTGTCCAAACAGGAGGAAGCTGGAGGCCTGCTAATCTTGCCAGAGACTGGCTCCCTCCCTGCCATTAGCGGCCAAAAATGGCCTCTCTCTTCCGAGTCACTGGATCAGTCTCTGCCGGCAGCCCATCCTGCACCTTTACTAATAAACAGGAAGCCGGGAAAGATACTCATTTGCTTTTAGAAAGAGCCTGAAGGGGTGTTCATCTTAGAAGCGTGTGCTTAGGGTCAGTGAAGAGTGGGGGTGCTCCCCCCACAGCCGCCACTTGTTTCAAGGGTTTGCAGGTACTGCACTCAGTCTATGGGTTCAGTGATCAGAACCACGACACAGTTTTGGGGACCAGCAGAGATTAACTCCCGAGGTTCATTTTACGCTGCCTCGCAAGCTGGTCTCGCCCCTCATTTGCTGTGTAAACCAATAAAGCCCTTTAGAGTTTGGGTTTTTTTGTTTTTTTTTTGCTTTTTGGGTCACACCCGGCGATGCACAGGCTCATCCTGGCTCATGCACTCAGGTATTATTCCGAGTGGTGCTTGGGGGACCATACGGGATGCTGATATCAAACCTGGGTCAGTGGAGTGCAAGGCAAACGCCTTACCTGCTGTGCTATTGCTCCAGCCCCCCTTCATAGTTTAAAAACGGCTTCGAGTTGGATTTTTGTCACTTGCAATGAGGTGCTGCTGGAAGTGTGTTTTTGTCTAACCCTGTTTGTGTTACATTTCTACTGAGCACTGATCCATAGCACAGAACTGGAGGACAATTTGAAGTTTCCATTTACTTTTAATTTTTTGGTGTTTGAACCACATCTGGTGATGCTCCGGGTTTATTCTGGCAATGCTCAGAGGACCACATGTGGTGCCAGGGAATGCAAGACAAGTGCTCCCCCTGCAGTGCTCACTCTCTCTGGCCCCCTTGGTCTCCATTTCATGACTGTAGCAGGGCACAATGCAAGGGCTCAGACTTCTCACAGGGGACACCAGGCTCCCTGTGGCAGACATGGGTGAAAAGTTCAGCCAGTGCTCAATACCAAATCCCTCTCTCCTTGCCTATCTGAAAAAGCAAAATACTCACTTTCTTAACTTTCTCTACAACTGAAGCTGGCTAAGTAACAACCATTTTGAGCAATGAAAAATACTGTAACAGGGAGGGATTCCAGAACAGTGATCCATGGCATGGGCTCGAGCCAGAATGACTAGATCCGCCATCACCTAAGCTACAAAACGTCCAATAACTCTACCTGTCTCGTGGCTCTCGGGTGGACTCAAGGAATTAATAAACGTCAAAGACTCCAAAGTGCACTTGTTTTCAAGTGGTCAACGCTCTGTCAGTGTTGGCAACTGCTTTCTACCCCCTCTTTACGTCGGTGCCAACATGAACAATCTAAATGATAATGACGTGAAAGCCGCAGGATGCAGAGGGGTACATGTGGATGAAGCGGTACTCACATTTGGGTGAAACAGGCTGTGTAGACCTGGGTGTCTCCCCACACACATGCAGGGTAGGTGTGGCAGGGCAGACCAAGAACCAGTTAAAACAGTCCCCTTAGGAAGCGTGAGCCCTACACACACACACACACACACACACACACACACACACACACTGACACAAAATATAATCTCTGGAGCCCCACAGCCAGAGATGTGTGGGAACTGGAACTAAGTGTGCAAGCATTACAGGAAGAGGACAACCCCTGGTGACCATACCCAGAAAGTGGGGAGCCCCACAACTCAAAGAGAGTGTGACCCTGGCAGACTCACCTGACAGCCCCACAGCTGCAGGATGCAGCCTGAAGCAGACACTGTGGGGAATGTGTGGGCACTGAACTGGAGGAGCCTGTCCTGGTGAGCGCCACAAGCCAGGCGTGTGACCCCAGTTGCCACCAGAGCCACAGTGACCAAGAAAGGCCTGGAAATAGGGTCTAATGGGCTGAGCAGAGGCTGAGCATGCAGGAGGCCCTGATTCTATCCCATATGGTACCCCGAGCCCCACCAGGAGGAACCCTGAGCAAAGGGCTACGAATAGGTCCCAAACCACCAGGGGTGGCCCAAAACCCAAGAGAAAGAAAAAGAGTAGATCTGAGTTCGAATTACAAGAACAAAAACTTTGTAACTCTGGATGGTGGTGGCTGTTAACCACCTACTATGCGGATTACTTCAGTGTGGACAAATACAGAATTGTTTTGTCATTTGTCTTGCATGCGGCCGAACTGGGTTTGATTCCTCCATTCCTCTCAGAGAGCCCGGCAAGCGCCGAGAGTTATTTCGCCCGCATGGCAGAGCCTGGCAAGCTCCCTGTGGCATATTCGATATGCCAAAAACAGTAACAACAAGTCTCACAATGGAGACGTTACTGGTGCCCGCTCGACCAAATCGTTGAACAATGGGATGACAGTGCTACAGTGCTACATCGCTGAAACAAATCCAATGGCATGCCAATCAAGCACAGAAACAACCCCAAAAGGTAGCTTAGGAAAGGAGCTGAGGGGGGCCAGAGCAAAGCGGGAAAGCACGAAAGGTGTTTGCCTTGCATGAGGCCAACCTGGGTTTGATTCCCAGCACCCCATAAGGTCCCCTGAGTCCCACCAGAAGTGATCCCGGAGTGCAGAGTAAGGAGTGAGCCCTCAGGACCATTGGGTGTGGCTCAAAAAACAAAAAAGAGATGGAGTTGAGGGCAGAAAGTGACAAGTGTCCTTTGGAAACATTCAAACACAGGGTAGGTTATAACCTGTTACACACCAGACAGTAGAGAACATCTAACCCTTGCTAATTCCAAGTGCCATCTTGCATGGTGGCATAAAGGAGGAAGGCAGTGGGGGGTTGCCCCACCCCCCTGCAACCTTCTCTGCTATCAGTGTGGCACAGAGTACACATGCTATAAGGATGAGTCTGTGTCAGCTCACAGAGCGGAGCTAAAACTCCTGGGCTGGGGGGCCAGACAGACCTGGGGGTGCTCTGGGACCAGCCACTTCTTCACTGTAGGGGCTTGACCGGGCTATTTGGCATCTCTGAGTGGAGTGGTTCTGCCCCTCCCACCCCCCACCCGCCCCCACCACCAATTGTAAAATGGGAGTGACAACCACCTTACGATGTGAATGTCCAGCTGGGGACAGGGCATCAGACACCAAGAAAACTGCCGAAGGAATGGAGATAGGTTTCACTGGAAGTAGAGTGATCACTTTCAAGTAACTGTTTTCATGTGTCAATATTTTAATAGACATTTAAAAGCAGGAAAGAGTTACACTGAACTAGCGGAGATGACTACATACAGCTGCTTTTGCAAACCCAACAACCAGAGAGTAAGTGAAGACACATCCTGATAGGTCCTAACCCTCTGGGCTGAACTGTTCTACCTGACTCCAGCAGAATCCAGGCCTTCCACCTTCTAAGGCCTCCATTTCCAACTCTGCCTTCGAAGACAATAGGGCAGGACAGAGCCACGGTGGGCTGATCTACTGGCGACTTTAGGGCTCTATTCCCACAGAGTAATTTTAGAGGCCCCACATACATAGGGGAATGGGCCCAAGTAAAATATCCTGGAGAGTGAGCTTCATGGCAAATGCAGAGTAGGGTGAATGGTTTTAGGTCAGGGAACCAGGATCACAAATGCTGCAACTTAGTGGAATTAAGACCTCGACTGCTGCCCACAGGGACGAGGCAGGAGAGACGGCCCACCCCGCTCATGTACACGGGAGACTCGAATCTGGAACTGCACAAACCAGCCTGGGTATTGTGGGCCTCCCTTTCGGTGAAAATCAAAGCCCTGAAAGAGAATGCTCCACAGTGCTCTCTTAGGAAAAAGAGAAACACCCCTCCCTTCAAGTTTAATTAGTAAATAGGGAGTTGGGCTCTAAAAAATCGCAAACACTTTTTTCAAGATTATGAAAAATTAAAAAAAAAAATTATGAAAAACTGTGGCCAGATAGGGTAGCAGCAGGAGAGCTGATCCCTGTGAGCTGTGCACACAAGCACCGCAAGCCCAACCCTCTGCACTGGAACGCAGCATTATTCTAGGTAGGGTCCAGGTACACGATTAACCAGCCGGAGTGCTGCATGCAGATGGTTCTATATGCCACAGATTGTTTAAGCAGACGAAGTTTAACCACAGATTTGACAATGCCCCCTCCCTCCCAAGGATGTTCTGGTATGAAGTCTTGGTGCCTAGAAGAACTGAGAAGAGTTTTGTATGTCTGGGGGCCACACCTGGCAGTGCTCAGGGCTAACTCCTGGCTCTGCACAGAGGGATCACTCCTAGTGGGCTGGGGGGACTACACAGGGTGCCAGGATTGAACCCAGATCAGCTCCGTGCAAGGCAAGCACCTTACCCACTTTATTGTCTCTCCAGCCTCCAGAACTGAGAAATTCTTTGGAAAAAAAAAAAAGGAGGAGGTGGAAGGTGTTAGAGACACAAGAGCTCTGTGTCCATCTCATTGGTCACTTAGTCCCCACGTTCATCCTAGAGTTCATGCGAATTCAAGACATTAGGCACAGACGTTAGACTTGTGTCAAGGGCAAAAACTTCTGGTAGTAGCTCTTGGTGACATCAATCATCAGCTCCTGGGTACATTCTGGGAGCTCCCCTGAGAACAGTCCTGAGGAAAGAAAGACCTGGTCAAGCCCCATGGAGCCAGCAGGGCCTGCGGCTCGCACTGCCATCGGCCCCCGTTTGCTAGTCACTAGTACACATGGAGTTTCCAGCTTCAGTGCTAACAGTATTTCTACTAACCCTCCCTTCCAGATAACGCCAATGTGTATGTGTAGGGAAAACACACAAAGCCACCACCAAATGCACAAATACCATCCAGCAAATGAGAGTAGGTCATTATTGCATGCTGGGAAGAAAGAAGGCATCTTCGACGGCCACATCTGGTGTGGCTGTTCTGGTCATGGATTTGTCTGTATTCTGGAGTCAGTGAGACACCTACTGGGCAAGCCAAGGTTTCCTTTTGAGGCAGGAAACGTCCCTTCTGTCCCTATAGTGAGATCAACTCCAATGCTCAAGCATGTTCATTGCATACAGAACAAGGTGGGGAGAACAGAAATGTCCTAGAGAGGAACAAAATATGGGAAAATCATACTGAAAATTTTCTGAGAAAGAGACAGTCTCATATACTGTGGATGGACATATGCCTTCATACTGAAGAGGCATTTAGAAAGAGCTAGCAAACTTTAAAGTTTTGTGACCTGAAAATTTAACTTTCTGTCCAACTGCTCAACATCTGTACAACAGTGTAAATGCAGCAACATTTCCACTAGTGAAGAAGCAGGGAATGATTCTATTGTGGTTTATTTACACGAGGTAAAAACATGTAGCCATTAAAATGAATAACGCAAGTCTCTACACGCCAATAAGATGTGCAAGATACACTGTTAAGAAAACCTATTTCTGGGACCGGAGCGATAGCACAGCGGGGAGGGCGTTTGCCTTGCACGCGACCGACCTGGGTTCGATCCCCGGCATCCCATATGGTCCCCCAAGCACCGCCAGGAGTAATTCCTGAGTGCAGAGCCAGGAGTGACCCCTGAGCATTGCTGGGTGTGACCCAAAAAGCAAAAAAAAAAAAAAAAAAGAAAACCTATTTCTGGGGTGGAGAAATAATACAAAGGTTTAACTCAACACCCCATTCCCTGAATGTGGCCACGAATGGTCCTTGAGCACAAAACCAGGAGTTAGCCCTAAGCAAAGATGGGCATGCCCTCCGCCCCCCACCCCCCAAATAAACAAAAGACAAAATAAAAATGGAAACATGTTTTGGAAGAGAATGGTCTCTATAGGAATGAAATTTTTTGTGTGTGCATATTATACGTTACACATGTGAAATACCATACCTTCATATATACATCTATCTACACATCCATACATAAAGCTATGTAGTATAGGGAGATAAAATAATAATGAAGGGGCGAGAGAGCACAGCGGGTAAGGCATTTGTCTTGCACACAGTCAACTTGGGTTCAATTTTGGTGCCCCAGATGTTTTCCCCAAGCCCCACAAGGAGTGATTCCTGAGTACAGAGCCAAGAGCGTCACGGGTGGAGTCTCGCTGCCATCCCCTGCCCAACCCCCACCCCCTGGCCACAAAAATAAAGTAAAATTAAAAAAAAAAAAAAACAGGGAAAAGAGAAAAAAAGTAGTCTGAAAACTAAAGAATTCTCCTAGGCACCTTTTACAAATTAGCAGGCAAGATCAGGATTACAAACACATACATTTTCAGAGTTTTTGTTTTTTTTTAAAGCCAGGGATATAGTTCAAAGGGCTAGAGCAAGAAGCCGAGAGCAGACCTGAGCACCAATTGGTGAAGCCCTTTCTAACTCTCGATCCCACCATCTGGTGACAGATTTTTTTTTCTATCTTTTATTGAAGAATCATCTTTCTTTTTTCTTTTTGGGTCACACCCAGTGATACTCCTGGTGATGCTTGGGGAACCATATGGGATGCTGGGGACTGAATCTGAGTTGGCTGCATGCATGGCAAACACCCAACCCACAGTAATATTGCTCCAACTCCAAGAAATCATCCTTCAAGAATATCTCTTCGCCTGTATGTTTCCAAAATTTTGCCTCTCACCCCAAGACTGGGATCAAACCCTAAGTTATTCTATCATAGAGACAGTTCACCTTAGCAGCTCACAGGCCAGGTTTCTTTCCTCTTTGCTCTAATCCTCCATAATTTCCTGTGAACTCAACTAGGCATTTAAAAAGACAACAGATCATGGGCTAGAGAAAATGTGCTCGCCTTGCATATGGCTGCTGTGAGCTTGATCCCACAGGCACCACCTAGGACCACAGGGATGGCGCTGTGTTGCCAGGTGTTGTTCAAAGTCCACAACAAAGGATACCAGATTTTTTTTTTTTTGGTGATGGTGGGAGGGGGGAGGGCAAGGGGTGCCTCCAAGTGGTAGTGCACAGGGCTTATTCCTGGTTCTGTATTCGGGATCACCCCTGACTACATGTGGTACTGGGTATTGAACCGGGATGAGCCACATTCAAGACAAGCACCTTATCCCCAAACTAGCTCTCTGACCCTCCAGGATGTATTTTAAGTAGTACTTAAGTATTTCTAGGCATTTAAAGAGAATGTAAAAGTTAGCAGATCTATATATTATCAGAGACAGAAATAGCATACATTTCTTTTGTGACGGAAATGAAATGAATCGCGACGATGAACATGCAAGGTTACCTGGGCAGCCTGAGAAGATGGTGAATGGGGGGACCACAGTTTCTGGAGGTAACACTGTGTTGTCGAGAATTTTGCAGCAGTCCTTTAATACACATCGACGCCCCTGAAATTACAATCTTGTCAATAGGAAACAGACCAGAAAGTGAGAGAAAAAAGTTGCTTAGTCTACTGTGTGGGCAGCAAAAGGCGCTTGGCTCAACTCCTTATTTCAAACGGCTCCTGTTATAGCAAGAACGACAGAGATAGGGATGTGCGTGTACTTCTGGGGCGAGGGTGGCATGTCACCCTAGTGACAGTTTATGTCAGCCTAGGTATGAACTCAAAACATTCATTCATTCTACGAGTTCTACCTAACTTTCTAATTTTATTCTTTTAATTCTGTGCACATCAGTTGTTTTGCTTATCCTACATCCATTCCCCTTTCTTCGGCTGATAGAATCAGTATTTTCCCTGGAAATTACCTAAATAGCTATGCTTCTACCTCCCATCACAAACACCCAACTCCAAGTCAGGCTGCAACAGCTAGTCAAGGGCATCGATACAGACACTAAACCAGACTGATGAATGGCATCATCAGGGTCCTACTGGGACCACTGGGAAAGAAGCTTTTCCCAAAGGGATTTCTACAGGACAGGATGGAGACCTTAGTCTTATCACATGAGGAAATTCTGCCTGAACAAACTGGAGACAAATCCCTATGTCCTCAGTGGAACTCCTAGAAATATTTATGCATGAAATTAGGGCTTATTTCTATACTCTGGGTTCATTCCATATTATTCCTATAGGTTCATGGTATAAAACAAATTGGAAATGACAAACTGACAAAGTGCCAACAAACTCATTTGGATATGAAGTAATTTATTCATTTTTTCCCCCTACGGGTAAATTGCAGCTATTTGATGTTTTAGACTGAATTTTATAACTGACTTTATCTGCTGGTATCACTTTTCAATTCTGTCATCACCCACAGCATTTTGAGATTAAGAAACCAATATCCCCGGTATTGGTAGTGGGGAATGTGCATTGGTGGAGGGATGGGTGTTTGATCATTGTGTGATTGTAACCCAAACATGAAAGCTTGTAACTATCCCACGGTGATTCAATAAAATTAAAAAAAAAAAAAGGTCAAAGCTATACAGAAGTACAGAAGGACATATTCAATGATGATGTATAGGTAAAGGTAAAGGTAAAGGCCCTCCCGTTGATCGCTGATTTGCTCGAGCGGGCCCAGTAACGTCTCCATTGGAGACTTTGTTGTTACTGTGTTTGGCATATCGAATACTCTCAGTAGCTTGCCGGGCTCTCCGAGAGGGGCAGAGGAATCGAACTCGGGTCAGCCATGTTGGCCGCTTGTAAGGCGAACGCCTTACCTCTGTGCTATCGCTCCAGCCCTGATGATGATGCATATTATGTAAAATATAATTTACAAAATGTACATACAAAAAAAAAACCTAGGTCACAGCTCAGAAAGATAGTAAAGCAGGTAAGGAACTTGCCTTTTATGCATCTGACTTGGGTTTGATCCCTAGCACTGAGGGATCACTGCTGGCCATCCTTGGGAGTCCCTAAGGCATACCAGAGATTGAATCCAGGTCGGATGTATGTAAGGCAAATGCCCTCCCCACAGAACTCTCATCTCTCTAGCCCCATGCTGACTCTGACCCTTCTGAATACCAGTTTCTTCTCCAAGACGCCCGTCTGCCCATTGTCCATGAGTCAAGTTCTATTAATCCCTCAAGATTCCCTTGCTCCCACCAGACTATAGCATCTGTGTCTATGGTAACAAGTACACCAGACAGCACATGGCTATTCAAATCACATGAACTCAAATTCTGCTTCTACCACTTCTTAACCTTGTCTTAGCTCGTATCTAAGGGCTTCGGTCTTCTCATCTGCAAACAGGGTATAACAGTACCTGCCACTCCTGGACTGACTAGGGATTAAGTGAAATCATTAAAGACTTTTCTGTCACATAGAAGAGGCTGAATAAAGAGAAGTTCCAATTATGAATGTCCAGGAGAAGCTCCAAATCCAACAACAGCCCCCATAGACTGGAAACTGTTTGGACCCTGTGTGCTAAACAGTGGCAGAGACATGTGATGAGAGGGACAAATGTCGGGGGGAGAGAGGCTGCTTATCGCCATACTTACAATCACACAGTTCTTGCCCACGTGAACATAAGAGCCGATCTGAGCTGCGTTGACCACACAATCTTCCTCAATAAAGACATGGTCCCCGATATGTAAAGGAAAGAACGCCACCCTAAAGAAGAAAAAGAACATGACAAAAGTCAGGTCACACTTCAGGTCACAGTTTACAGAAGCAGAATTCCTCATCTCAGTTTCATCAGCTTGTCTTGGTAAGACTGCTCCTGGCAAGGCAAGAATTCTCACGTGGAGAAATTCTATAATCTTGAAGAGACAGTCACTCAAACACTGAAATACTAGAGCACATAATGTGAAAGAAAATAGCAAGGAGTGAAGACTGATAAGTTACAGGAGTTGGAACCAAATAAAAATAAATGAACATTTGCTCATTCCTGCTTCCTTTGAAACTGCTCCCTGAACACATTTTCAGTCCTCTGCTCTATGCTGCTTCGGGGGACCGAGATCACATTCAGGGGATGGATTTTCTAGCATCTGACATCCTGAAAATCTTCATACAGGCATTGATTTCACTGAGTGCCTACCAGAAGCCTGAATCTATGTTAGGAATAAGGGCTGCAATGGCGAGCAGAAAGAACATGATTCTGCCCTCGGAAAGCTTACAGTCAAGAGAAGACAAGACAGATTAAAGGAATGATTATGTAAGTAATTAGTTACTGTTGGTAAAAGTGCCATTGAGAAAATTATTCCGAGTTATGAGTCTATAATTAGGAGAATGCACTCATCTTGGAAATCTGGTGAATACTTAATTCAAGGTGACATATAAATCAAGGTTGGAACAATGAGTAGGAGTCAGCAGGCTTCCCCCCCACTTCTTTTTTCGCTTCTTTCAATTTCTATTTAGACACCATGATTTACAATCCTGTTACTAATAGAGCTTCAGGCCTACAATGTTCTAACACCACACCCACCACCAATGTCAGCACCCCTCCACCACCCCAACTTCTGACATCATCTGCATCCTCCGAGATTCCTCAAATGTCACCGATGGCAATCCTGCGATCACCGTCAGATACGTGGGATGTGAAATCTCTGGACTGGCACTAATGAGGAAGAGCTGCAGATAGTTCTCGTCTTGCCGGTGTTCCACTTTGTGAAAGATGATACACCTGTCCTCTGCAGATACTAAAATCTTCCTGTTCATCCGGATTATCTTTGTTGAGACCCTTCAGCAGGGCTTGGGGCCAGGGACCACTATCGCCACTATCTAATCCAACTATGCAGGTCCAACAGTTTGGGGCTCTGGCCTGGTGGCGCACTGCAGCCACCAAGGCCCCCTCTAGAAGTTCTGGGAGCTTGGGGGGTAGGTGAGAAAAGTGGGGGATCAATGCAGCACTGAGGACTGATTCGGGGGCCTCTGTATGCAAGACATGTGGCCCAGCTCTTTGAGCTGCCGCTCAGTCCCCCACATTTTTGATTAATGTCCCTTCCTTTTGCTCCTGCTGTGATGTCCAGAGGGATGGGGTTACACAAACAACACCTATTTTATGACAGTGTGCTGGAGGTCACACTTAAGGACCTGGGGAATCTACACGAGCAGTGCCAGAGAGGAGGTGCCAGGGCTCGAAGCCACAGCCCGACACAGGTGAGGCAGGCACTCTACACCACAAAGTCACAATCCCAGGCACCCATTCCTACTGAGTCTGCACCCTCGTGTGGTGATGGGTTCTCTGGTCTCAGTGCAGTCTGTGGCAGGACTGCGAGTTCTTCCACTTCAATCTGAAAACTCATCCCAGTGAGGTGGCTCAGCACCAGAGCCCTGGCCTCGCCTGTGAGGCCCTGGCATCGTACGTACGTAAAACCGAAGCCCCCTTATTTTTATACTGTTATCCATTATTGATGCTGGGAAGTGAAAGAGAAAATCCCCATTCACCTTCTGTTCAAGAGCTGCTATTTTTTATTTTCATCTTTCTGTACTTCTCACATGGACTATTCAATTCATGCGACCTCTTAGCAATAAACCCTCTGTTCATGCTTTTCCTGGTCAAACCCAGCCCAGTGATGCCCCGATTAGAAGGAAGCGTCCACAAGTCCAGCGGAGCATGAGTCAATGTAGGAAGTCACAAGAAGGCACTGGGAGGTTTGCTGTTTCCCTGTAGCCTGCTGCACTAACCAGCAAACATCTTCATGTGAGAGATTTAGAGACTCTTTGCTCCGAAGCTCGTATGTAATGGAAAGCCTGGGGCACACCACTAAGCTGGGAAATGCAGGATGTACCCTGAGCTTCTGGCTCATCTCTGTGTTCCTTTGTCATGTGATAGGCACATCACATTATATAGTGGCCATCATGTTAGGTGCTAGTTACCTGGCCATTCAACTGTCCTACAAACTAGATTTTGAGACCCCTGAGGGAGGAATGCTATTTTTACATATCCCTTATTATCATCCAGGATTGGCATAAGGAAAGATCACAGTAAGCATGTGTTAAATCATTGGGTAGAACACAGTCGGTGCCGTAGGTAAGAACCAGGAGACCAATTGAGGAGGAAGAAAGGTGGAGAGAGCGGAGTTCATGCACAATTCAATCAGCCTAATCAGTGGCTGAATAAACAGCAATACACCTACATTTAAAAAAAAAAGACGGAGAGAGCACCACCATCACCAAAGCAGGCACCGTACTCAATTTTCTTGCCATACTGGTATCCCTTCTTTGACACTCCTTATTCCCTGAGAGATCAGTGGACCTTACTTGACCTTTCCCTGTGGGTCAGAGCTATTTAGCTCAGAGATGGGTACTTAACTCAATCGAAGTCCATCAGATTCCCTTATCCAAGAATCTGGAAATAAGACCTAAGATCCCAGGTCAAAGGGATATAGTACAGCAGGCAAAGGTGCTGGCCTTGGATACAGCCAACCTGGATTTGATCCCTGGCATCCCATATGGTCCTCCAAACCTACCAGAAATGATCCCTAAGCACAGAGCCAGGGGTATGCTCTGAGCACAGCCAGGTGCAGGAGCCCCCAAACAGCATGTATGTTGAACGTCTATTTACTTGGGTTTTTGGATGAAAGTGAGTGAACCACATGCAAGGTAAGCCCATAATTCTTGCGCTATATCGCTATCCCTCAGTTACAAATCTATATGGGGGGGGGGGGTGCACATGCTGCCTGAGCTCATGTACTGCTTGCTCCCACATGGCCAAGCACATGTGGCACCTGAGCCCATACCCAAGTACATGTGGCACCCACATCTTCTCTCGTTGAGATGTGTACTTTCACGCTTTCAAATCGAATGCTGGAATGTGCATAGGGGCTCTCTCCACCTTTGGAGAAGCACATGTTCTCTCTTGAGCACATTACACTCTCTCACTTTTTCTTCCTCCTTCCCCTTTTAAAAACGTCCAAATAAAATCTATCTTACTCTAAACAAAAACCAAAAAAATAAGTCTACATGGGGAGGAGATACAAATGAAGGTCTGAGGCAGTAAGGTTGTATCTAGAAGCAAAGTAGGAAGACACAACCTACCCAAAAGAAAGGAGAGGGAAGCAGACTTGGGGAGGGAATGGGGAAGACACAGTATAATTAAACAGACAAAGACTGGTGCAGTGAGGACCTGTCTTTCTGCTGCCTCGACGTCTACTTCCATGTTCCTGTCCCTTAGGAAGTCTGGCTCCTTCTACCCTCAGACTCCATGGATTATGCCTATATCTATTCATCAGAACACCATTCCCTTTTGCTAGCTGAACTGGTTGTTTCTTGCAACAACCAAACTGGACAAAGACAACCAGAGTTGTGTTCACTAATGTGAACTCATACTCACTGTTCCGAATAATAGCACTGACCTATTCCTCTGTATCACAATTTAATACATGGAAAATGCTACCAGTAGCGATCTCTCTCTCTCTCTCTCTCTCTTTTAATGTAGGAGTACTGCTATTTATTCATCCACTTATTAGGCTGATTAAATTGTTCTTGAACTCCACCAGTAGCAATCTCTTACCCCAAAATAAAATAAGGTAATTAAATCACATACCCTTTGCTGAATTTCTTGAATGGTGGCCTTATGACACTCCGACTTTTCACCACACAATGGCGTCCAACTCTCACATTTGCCAGATCCCCTCGGATAATGCAATCATTCATCACAATGGTCTAGAAAACAAAACACATTTTTTAAAAATCAGCAACACAGCCAAAAATACAAAACAAAGAGTAAGCGACATGACTCTGAGCCAGAGTTATGCTATGATCAGTCACATATTCTCTCAAAAGGGTAACTTGTAGAGGCGGGAGCCATAGTACAGTGGGTAGGGCGCTGTTCTTACATGCAGCCAACCCACGATTGATTCCCAGCATCACATAAGGTCCCCTGAACACTGCCAGGAATGATTCCTAAGAGCAGAGCCAGGAACAATCCAAGCATTTCCAGGTGTGCCCCTGCCCCCCCACACATACAAAAAACAAAACTAAGAGTAACTTGTAAGATGAAGGGTTTTGCTTACAATAGTGATTTCATTGGAGTATGTTTCTAGTATAGTACAAACTTTGCCTTCAATTCCACATGAACAGGACGCACTGACTAAACAACGAAGAACATGAGTGTGATGTAATGATCAAAGCTTTTCTCCTACTTGGGCCAGCGTGACAGTATATAGTAGGTAGGGTACGGCCCAGCTTGGTTTGATCCCCAGACCTACATATGGTCTCCTGAGCCAGCAAAGAGTAATCCCTGAGCACAGAGTCAGGAATAAGCCTTGAGCACCTCTGGCTGTGGTCCCCAAACAAAAAATTTTTAAAAAGCTTCCCTTCCCCTCAAATGTAAACTCTCAGAGGTTAAGAAAGTTAACAGAAACTGGTCTGAGGCTGGCAGTTTTAGGATGTGGCAACCCCTCATTGGGAGAAACCACCTTACAACATTCTTCTGGCTCTGAGTGGGCCTAGAGAGAACCTGAGGAAAACTCTGTAGTGATAAGGCGACAGAAAATACTAGCAGCTGCACAGTGGAACCTTCCTTGACCTGCACTCACCTTTTTCCTCACGACCAAGCTCAAAAACACACCCCTGATTATGTTTCTTCTCTATTTTCTATACACGAGATGCATGTCCATTGCATGTTCCTCAGCTGCACATGCCCACTGTTCCCAGGAAACATGGGGAAAAACTATTTTGTGTGTGTTCAACAGACCAGTTGAACAAATTCGGCAGAGGATAGGTCATTTAATTACCTTGTTTTATTTTTGGGCAAGAGGCTGCTATTAGTGGCCTAATCCATGCATTAAATTGTGATATGGAGGAATAGGTCATGTTACTATTTGGAACAATGAGTAAGAGTTCACAATAGTGAACACAACTCTGAACAAACTAATTTTTCCTGGGCAAAAACTAAGACTATTTAGGCAGCCACATCACCCTAATTCTGCCAAAAATAAAAGCAGACTTCCAATTCCTCTCTCTGATGCTTGCTCTACAATCTGTGCTGGTCAGACATACTTTTCAACTTAAGAAATTTCTTTTTTCTTTTCTTTTTTTTGGGGAGCCACACTTATAGTGCTCAGAGGCAATTCCTGGTTCAGCATTTAGGGACCATGCAACAATAGAGGGGAAACCCAGGCATCCAGTATGCAGTGCACATGCCAAAGCATTCTGAGCTACTTCCTATCATTCTGAGCTACTTCCTATCAGGCCCGTGTTTTCTTGCCAATAAAGCCCCTATGGTGGTGATGGTGGGGGCCACACTGGACAGTGCTCAGGGGTGATTACTGGCTCTGTGCTCAGGAATGACTCTAGGTGGTGCTCAGGGAACCGTGCAGTGCTGGGCAGTGAGTGAACTGGTACCTCTTCACATGCTGAGTACAATTCCAGAATGCTACCCAGGGAGCACCGTAGCCAAATAGACAAGCACAGGGAACCACTATGGGATTAGGGGACCATAACATGTACACCATAACCAGGGTGTGAACTCAAGAGCACTGCACACAAAAGGATCCAAGCACCAAAACCCAGTGTGGACAACACCCATTCATTGGAACAACAGAAGGAAGAGGAAGGGGGAGATGATTTTAGGGGCCAAGGGTGGAGCTAAACTGGAGAGCATATTTAAATACGACCCTGCGGGGGTCAGAATGATAGTACAGCGGGTAGGGCATTTGCCTTGTACCCGGCTGACCCAGGTTCAATTCCAAGCATCCCATATGGTCCCCCGAGCACCGCCAGGAGCAACTGTTGAGTGCAGTGCCTGGAGTAACCTGAGCATTGCCGGGTGTAACCCCAAAAGCCAACAAATAAAAGTAAATAAAAATAAGGTTGGCCCTGAACTAGTGCCTTGACCCAGGCACTATGAGGCCAAGGCACCAGTAAGGAACTCTTTCTTACTGACTGACTGACTGACTGACTGACTGACTTACAGAACGCTGGTCTGCGACACTGTTAGATTCCAGGGGCACATCACAGGGCTCATGCACTGACTGAACTGTCAGGCTCAGCCAGGCTGAACATCGCCCAGAGTAGCCTTGGTTCCCCAGAATACTGTTTGGCAGGACCCCCGCACCCAATAACAGATTTTAGCTAGAACTGCATCTGGAAAAGTCAGTGTTATCGGGAATTACAGATGCTGAGCACAGAGGTTTAAATTGAGTTCCCCCCTTTCCTCTTCCATACTCTTCTTGTCAGGAAGGTGATAGTGCTTGGTGGCAGTGCTTCATACTTGTTTGTTTCTGAGTCACACCCAGCAATGCTCAGGGCTTGTTCCAGATTCTACACTCAGGGATCACTCCTGTCAGTGCTCAGGGTACCATATGTGGGGCCAGGGACTGACCGTAGGCCAGCCATGAGCAAGGCAAAGGCCCTATCTGCTGTACTATTGCTCTGGCCCCAAATAATTTTTTGTGTTTTTTGTGCCACTCCCGATTTGGGAGTGGGGAGTGGGGAGTGGCTGGGGCGTTTGCCTTGCACGTAGCCAACATGGCCGACCCGAGTTCGATTCCTCCGCCCCTCTCGGAGAGCCCGGCAAGCTACCGAGAGTATTCGATATGCCAGACACAGTAACAACAAAGTCTCCAATGGAGACGTTACTGGGCCTGCTCGAGCAAATCGATGATCAACGGGAGGGCCTTTACTTTTTACTTACTTACTTTGTGCCACTCCCAGCAGTGCTCAGGGCTCACTCCTGGCGGGCTCAGGGAGCCCAATGGGGTGCTGAGAATTGAACCCAGATTGGCTGCATAGAAGGCAAATGCCCTATCCACTGTATTACCACTCCAGAACCGTTTCATACTTCTGCTACTCAAACACAATTAGTTGCAGTGCTCTATACTTGTGGTACACACATACATGTGGCTGCAGTGCATCAGAGATCACAGATTTGTTGTGGGCCAAGGAACATGACAGAAGTACCAGTGGGATCTCACTCAACAATGTGGGACAGTGCCAAACTCACTGGCCAGGTGCTCTACCACTAAGTCACAACCAGGCTGCTAGATGTTTTTCTTCCTACAGAGTAATCAGAGGGCCAGAGAGCTTGTACAAAAGTTATGGCGGCCAAACACAGGGCTGTGGCCACAACCCTGGTTCAAATCCTGGCACTGCATATATGAACCCAAGTGCACTGCCAGGCATAGCTCCTGAGCAGAGCCAGGAGTGGCTCCAGGTGGGCCCCTGCTCACAAAAAAAAAAAGAGAGAGAGAGAGAGAGAGAGAGAGACTGCAAGGAAAGGATTATTTACTTATTTTTACTTCGGAACTATATCCTGTGATGCTCAGGGGTTACTCATGGCTCTGCACTCAGAAATTACTTCTGGTGATGCTTGGGGGACCATACCGGGTGCCACATTATCAAACCTGGGTCAGCTGCAAGCAAGACAAGTGCCCTTCCCACTGTATTGTCTCTCTGGTCCTTCAAGAAAAAAATTAACCCAACTGAATTTTCATTTCAGAGTTATTATTATGCTAGCGGTCTGGAGTCTACATGGAGGAAAGAGGGAGACTGGTGGGAAAGTGATCCTTTAGCTTAGCGTGTTTCAACCCCTTTCTTCACATGTGATCCCGACCTACTGGCCGCTGTGCTATTCCAAGCGGGACCCTAGCCTTGTGCCATGACCTCCCAATTACGTGATTTTCATTTTGGACCCCTTTGGAATACCACGGTCACAAGGTTAAGAAATGCCGCTTTGGATGACCACAGTGGCTTTAAAAAAAGACTCCATGCCTAATGCAACCTCAGTCAGTACCTGGGCCATGAGGAAAGAAGAAATGAACAAGAAAATGAGAGATATACAAATTAATTACCAATGCGGGGGGGGCAGGGCGACGGGGGGGGGCACAAAAGATGGCAGTCAACAGTCCATGTGAAGAAAAGCAGTCCAATTCAGAAATGTGGAAATCCGAGGAGACAGTGAAACAGTTCTTAACATTTAATTGACAAAGGAGAAAAAAAAAAGGATGGAAAAAGTGAACTGTTACAGATTTTTAAAAAGTGACTTAAGAGCATAGGGCTCACATGTATGATGCCCTAGGTTCAATCCTAACATTACGACCACTGATCCCTTCATGCCCTCCTCCCAATACGTCTGGGTCCAGGGGAAGCTCAGAGGTAAAGCACTTATCATGTTGATCTGAAGACACACATCTTGTCCCCATTACTGCCCGACTTGCTGAGTGAGATCCTGATGATGCTGTTATTGGGGATCCCTGGCACCAGGACAAAGCGTGAAATTGCCAGAGCACTGCAACCAGAGTGTGCACTCTTTGTAGTCAAAGTGAAGGCTGCGAGTTAAATGTACCCCAACAAGTGGGCGAACCCTGGTCATGGCAGAATAACAACGGAAGGGAAGGGGAAAATTAAACAGCAAAGCATAAACACTAGCCCCTTCCAGCTTAAAGAAATGCCTATCTCAGGGGTATGGTGCCGCCAGCAGGTCAATCTGTACCTGTGAGGCGAGTGCATCAGCAGCCTCATGGCGCCTTCAGAATTCCAGATACCCAAAAATTGCTGCTGTGCTTTTGGCCAGACCCCAAAAACTTGGAAAAAAGTTTATCAAGAAAGTAAACAGCCAAAAGTTAGGTATGTGGGAGACACACCCACAAACCACCTCCGGCTCAGCTATATAATTGGAGGCATGGCCTCTCTGGTTCCCAATCGAACTGCTTAACAGCCAT